GTCCACCACCTTTGGCTGCAAAGGATGTAGTCAATCTGATTTCGGTGTTGACCATCTGGCGAGGTCCATGTACAAAGCTGTCTTTTAGGTTGTTGGAAGACGGTATTCGTTACACACAGCGAGTTTTCCTGGCAGAATTCTATCAGCCTGCGTCCCGCTTCATTTTGTTCTCCCAGACCATGCTTGCCTGTGATCCCAGTTGTCATTTGACTTCCCACCTTGGCATTCCAGTCTCCTGTAATGAAAATAATGTCTCTTTTTGGTGTATTATCCAGTAGGTCCTGCAGATCCTCATAGAACTGATCTACTTCTGCTTCTTCAGCAGCTGTGGTTGGGGCGTATATTTAGATCACTGTAATGTTGAAAGGCTTTCCTTGCATTCGAATTGAGATCATTCTGTCATTTTTTGGGTTGTATCCAAGCACTGCTTTAGCGAATTTCTTATTAATTATGAAGGCAACTCCATTTCTTCGATGTTCTTGGGACTTGTAGTGGCTGGGATTATAGTTCACCTACAATCAAAGAGCATCCTGAACCCCACCAATGACCGAATTGGGCCAAACTTCCCACACAGAACCCCCATGATCAACAGAAAATACTGATGGCCTTTGGCGAACCCTCTGACACCCTCTTGCGACCTCCCACCCCAGGGGCCTTGCCCCCCAGATTGAGAAACACTGCATTAAGGAAAAGGGGAGACAATCTGTGCAGAACATAATATGCTTTGGGAAAAAATGTGCTGCAGATAGCTCCAAAACCTGCACAATCAGTGAGATATGAATGTCTTAAAACATGGAAGTGGAAGGAAACATAGTGAAAATGAGTCCAAAAATATAGAAGAGGAATATTTTGGATGCTGCTACAAAAACAAGATGGGGCAAAATGCTGGTGGGAAATTCTGAGAAACACAGGGGGGAAGAAAGAGATTTCCGTGTCTCTAATGGCAGCTAATCTGCAGGCTGTCTCAGCTGTAATGAGTCTTCTGCTGGAGAACTCTGTGCAACTCATTGAAAAGAACAGAAGCTCTGTAGGAGCAATGTGCGCTGATTATTGTCCTGTTTCCTAAACGGGAGTCGCAAGCAGCTATTCTGTAAGAGGCACACGTCTCGATATTACTAGATTCAATTAATTACTTCCGTTCCCTCCACTTTTTTCATGTCATACTATGACACAGGTCTCCTGCAAGGAGCTGCTAACGAAGTGGGCTAGAACAAACAGCGGGGTTTCTCTTTGAACGGCACAGGGATTTGTCACTGGGTCCGTGACACCTGCTGAGAAATGGAATACAAAAGCATTGACTGCAAGGCAGACAAGAGGCAGACATGCATGGTTCAGTTTGAAGAATGAACGCCATCTCTGATAGGAAGTAGGAATGCTGTGTTTTGCAACCAGAGGACGCACTCAAAGAACAAGGAAGGCATTCAGCTGCATCAGTATCACATACTTTTTCTTGTCACCAAGACAGGAATGGGGTAGGATAGCAAGTACTTTCCATGGCAAGAACATCCCATTTCCACATGGTCCTCCATATGGAACATGGAGGACCATGTGAGATTCAGGGATTGATATGGTTATTCCCCCTCTCTTGATCCACTTTTCTTCATAGAATCATAGAATCAAAGAGTTGGAAGAGACCTCATGGGCCATCCAGTCCAACCCCCTGCCAAGAAGCAGGAATATTGCATTCAAATCACCCCTGACAGATGCCCATCCAGCCTCTGTTTAAAAGCTTCCAAAGAAGGAGCCTCCACCACACTCCAGGGCAGAGAGTTCCACTGCTGAACAGCTCTCACAGTCAGGAAGTTCTTCCTCGTGTTCAGATGGAATCTCCTCTCTTGTAGTTTGAAACCATTGTTCCATTGCGTCCTAGTCTCCAAGGAAGCAGAAAACAAGCTTGCTCCCTTCTCCTCCCTGTGGCTTCCTCTCACATATCCATACATGGCTATCATATCTCCTCTCAGCCTTCTCTTCTTCAGGCTAAACATGCCCAGCTCCTTAAGCCGCTCCTCATAGGGCTTGTTCTCCAGACTCTTCATCATTTTAGTCGCCCTCCTCTGGACACTCTCCCTCCTCTCCCTGTTTCCCTAATCTAAAATGGCCGCCGGGGCTTCACTAGGCCCACATCCTAACTGTTAAATGGTCTTTAGATGGCTTGAAAGGTTAAACAAAGTCCTTTATTATTGAACAAATTAAACAGATACTTCTCAAATCTTCAATGAGTCAAACAAATGCTTCAAGGCTTTCAATCAACTGGTGGCTTCCTTAATCTTGTTCACAAGGGACAGGCAACTGTCTTGTTAATTGTTCTTATACTTTGAGAGGAAAACTCTTTTTTTTAACCTCTCCCAGGCTGCATGTTATCTATGTTTTGTTGGTGTGGGATCTACTACCGATTCCAAACTGCGTCTTGGTACCGAGTAAACCTACCAGACAAAGCTTGTAGATTCTCCATCTGGAGTTTTTTGGGTCTGTAAAGCTGTTTTCCCTCTGGAATTTCTTTAAGACTCTAGGGCTGTTTCCCTCAGATGCTGTAAGGCTGAGAGGCTGCAAGCTCCCAGCCAGAGCTTTAGGAATTTCCCCCCGGAATGTCCTGAGAAATGAAGCTTTTCTGCAGGTGAAGCTTATCCACGTCCTCTAACTTAGCTTTCCTCATTAAGACTAACTAAAAATATCCCCCTCTTCCCTTCCCATCTCCCTGGGAGAAGGGGCTAATCCATACTTAACAATGATAGACCGGTGGCTTGCCCTATGACTGCAAACCAAAGGAAGCCACCTTTTTGCATGCAAACACTTAATAGAAAGAAAATAAAGTTGGAGCTCCTGGTACAGACGTACCAGCACAGGAAAAGTCCCTTTGTTTTGGAACAGGAACAGGAGAGATGGTTTGGAAGGAAGTGGGTAAAGGAGGAGGACGAGGAGGAGGAGGAGGAGGAGGAGGAGGAGGAGGAGGAGGAGGAGGAGGAGGAGGAGAAAACTGATGACCATTCACTACTTATTACACCCACATAGTGATGTTGACAGGCTTTACCTGCCCAGAAAATCAGGAGGCAGAGGTCTTCTGCAAGTGAAACAAATGGTAGAAAAAGAGAAACATGCACTGGCAGATTATGTGAAAGGCAGTCAAGAACCAACATTGATGGAAGTCAGTAGTAAAAAAAACCTGCTTAAAGTGCAAAAGACAAAGAGTAAATACAATCCAGAGCAGAAAAAACAAAATGCAAAGATACAGAATGGGGGACGATGATGCCTGGCTCGAGAGCAGTACGTGTAAAAAAGATCTTGGCGTCCTCGTGGACAACAAGTTAAACATGAGCCAACAATGTGATGTGGCGGCAAAAAAAAGCAAATGGGATTTTGTCCTGTCTCAATAGGAGCATAGTGTCTAGATCTAGGGAAGTCATGCTCCCCATGCTCTATTCCGCTTTGGTTAGACCAC